CAGGTGCTTGTCATAGCTGTGAAGGTAGACGCGGTTCTGCTTTAAAACTGGAATCTGAGAAGAGCTATCGATGTGTTATTCAGTTACTGTGGCTGTTTTTCCGAGTAGACAACATTTCTGCTCTGTCCGCGTGGCGCAAAGACCGTTTATCACAAAGGTGTGGATGGGGTTTGTCATACACCAGACCAAGGGGGAAGAAATGATGTCCTTTCTCGCGCTGGAGCAGGACAACACAAGGGCAGCACTGGCCAAGGCGCACTTCTTCTAAAAGCAGCACAACCCGAACAAGGAAGCGATTGAAAGGCCCAGCGGGCACAGTGGCGTGGTACAGAAGCAGCGGACTTAAGGACTGGACAAGCGCAGAGCCCACGAGCACGGCTTGATGTGGACAGAGACGCAGTAGCTGCAGGAGGAAGATGCTATCCGCCGCAGGGCAGGCAGGCAGGCGCTGGCAGCATTGCCGAAGGCCCGCATGCCTTTAGTGACTGCATGAAGGCAAACGGAAAGAATGAAAATACCGTGCTTTAAAATGCAAACAGAACCCCCTAGAAACCAAGTAACCCCCCTACCTCACGTTAGAAATAGGAAGGGAGGGAGGAATCAGTCTCAGCTAAATTGTCCTTAAAATGGCTATCAGTGTAATGAGCAGATGTAGTCAGGCTGCAGGAACTCAAGCAGTGTTGATGAGGTCTAGAGCTTCACCTTGAGTGTACGTCACTTAGTGTAATGTAATGGCATGGAATATAATGTGGTATTTTATCATACATAGATTTCTAGAACAATGTTAATAATTTATGGATACATTTGGGGTAAACCAACCCACAACTAGAAATATGTTGATGAAATCATTAAAAAATATATCTTGGGCTGCACATGATGGCACATACCTTTAATACCAGCACTCAGGAGGCAGGGAAATCTCTGAGTTCAAAGCTAACCTGATATACATAGCAAGTTCCAGGCCAGCCAGGGCTATGTAGTGTCTCAAAACAAAATGTGCACATGGCCACAAACAGGAAACTTTAAAAAGTACGTGTGCACCACTTGGGAGGTTGAGGCAGGAGGCCCAGCTAGTTCTGGGCCACTCTGAGCTAGAGAGACCTTGTGTAGAAAAACAAACCCCGACTCCCAATCCACTTGTCTTCTCTGTTCACACTTCGTCTCAATCATGTCTTGGGGCAAAGAAAAGTAAAAAGCAAAATTACAATTGAGCAGTTAATAACAAGGAGAAAAGTTCATGCTAAAATACAAAGGGTGAAGCTAGGCTTTGTAAGATTGTAAGTTTAAATGTCTTGTTATATATGAGAATCTGAAGTAATGGAACACAGCTTTAAAATTAGAAACAATAAATGCAGAAAAAGGAAACAGTTGAAACAAATTAAAATGCATAAAGAGTAGTTGGGAAAAATTGTCTATAATAGACACAGCTGATGAAGGACTTTTATGGAAAACAATTGTTTGTTTGTTTTTTATGAGTTATGTAAAACTCACCAGTAAGGAAATGAAGCCTAACTAAGCCCTGGCCAGGGACGCAGACACGTCACCATAGACACACACGCAGGCTATGAAGGTGTTCATCGTCACATTAAGAACCTACATGACACACTTACCAGAACAGTCACAATCCCAACAGCGCCGAGTACAGACAAGGGTGCGGAGCCGTGGAGACTCTGACCTGTTGCCAGTAGGAATGCCAAATGGCACAGCTCCTCTGACAACCATTTGGCGATTCCCTAGAAAACACATTCTTAGCTTTGGTGTGAAATCAGATGTGTGGGAAATTTATGCCCAAAAAACGCTGCTCCTTGATAGTTACAGCAGCTTCACCCCCAATTGGCAATGCTTGGGAGCAACCACACTCTCCTTCAGTGGGTGACTGGTGCATCCTGAGAGAAAACTCAGTACTAAGAAGAAAGGTGCTGTCACCCTGTGAGGTGACAGGAAGGGCCCTGACATTCCTGTCATTGGGTTAAAAAAAAAAAAAACAGTGTGGAAAAGCCACACTATAGGACTGCAAATCTAACATTCTGCAAAGGCGGCAACAGACAAGGGTGCGGTTTCTAGGAATTGGGGTTCGGAGGTGCACAGGAGCAAGGGTCAGGGTTTTTAGGGCAGTGAAACAGCCCTGATAATGCACTGGTAGATCCCGTGTCATCATACCTCAGAACGTGCAGCACAGAGTGATGTCTGATGTGAAGCCAGGCCGTCAGGTGACGACATCAGGTGCAGCTTCATCAATTGTATTGATCCCGTGCAGGGTATCCGGGGTGCTCTGGGGGGGGGGCAGGTAGTATATGGGAGCCCTGCATTTCTTCATGTTCATGCTCCACTAAGCCTCTGCTGGCACCACCTTGTCCTCATCACGGTGCGGAGCTCAGCCCAAAAGTTTGCGTTGTGAGTCTGAGCCCGGCTCCTACCACCTTGGAACAAACGCTCTGCAGCCTCCTGGCCCCTTCCTTGGCCAGGTCCGAGTCACACAGCCAAAGCAAATCCTTATCGGTTTACCATCGTGAGATGACCAGTATATTTAGTCTTACTCCTGAGAAACACAACAGTAGTAACTGTATTTTGTGAATAATTAGCTTAGAAGAAACACGGGCAGGATTTTGTCTTGTTTTGAGATGGTTTCTCTGTGTAACAGGCCTGCTGTCCTGGAACTCACTCTGTAAACCAGGCAGGCCTTGAACTCACAGAGATCCACCTGCCTCCTGAGTGCTGGGATTAAAGGCATGCACCACCACCGACATGGGCAGAATTTAAAGATACAGACTCCCATCTGTTCCCATGAAGAAATGTACGCAAACCACCCTCACAGTTCAGCCTTTCCTCAGTCGGCCTTAAGGGCCTTGAGAAGGCCGTCTCGCCCCTCAATTCTCACACAAATGGAGCCTAATTTGTGTATGTCATGTCAGTGGTCCCTGAGAGCAGCTTCCACATGATAAATTCTAGGGATTTTTCTTTACTTAGTTTCTCTCTGTGTGTGTGTGTGTGTGTGTGTGTGTGTGTGTGTGTGTGTGTGTATGTATGTGCATGCGTGTGCACGAGTGTACTGTAGGTCAGAGGACAACTTTGAGGAGTTAGTTCCCTCCTTCCACTTGTGAGTCTTAGAGATTGAACTCAGGTCTTCAGACTTGGCTGCAAGCACCTCTGACTACTGAGCCACCTCTTAGGCTCTCAAGCCATAAATTCTTGACCTTATTATTCTCCTGTCTTTTTCTACTGAGCTCCATTGTTGAAAAACAAAACAAAACGTCACACAGTCAGAACTAGCAACTGCAGCCCGGCATGGTGGTGCATGACTTTGTCTCAGCACTCGGGAGGCAGAGGCAGGCGGGTTTCCGTGATCGAGGCCAGCCTGGTCTACAGAGTGAGTCCCAGGACAGCCAGGGCTACAGAGAATCCCTGTCTCCAAAACAAAAACAAAAGAGCTGGCAGTGGCATTTGATGTAGAAGAAGGCTGGCCAGAGAGAGTCCTGGATTCTCTGCATGTCTGAAAAGAACTCCAGTTTTAAAAAGACAGAAGTGAATGTATCCACCATGAGGACAAATTACCAACTCAAAGCACACACAGACTTTATTAATCACTAGTCTGGGTTATCATTTTCATAGTTTTCCTTCCCAATGAAATGACCATTCTAAAGCCAATGCTTTAGCACATGACTCCCTGCACGTGCTGAGATTTTTTTCTCTTAAGTATCTCAAACTTCAGCAACTTTAAACCTTTATAGACATTTCTTGAGATTTCCCAATTTCAGTCACCGTAGTTTTCTTCTTAATATGTAGGAACTCTAAAGAGAGGCTCTCCTAGGGTCTGAGAAACCATGTGAAGCTGTCGGTATCACCCCTGAAACTGTGGTGAACTGCAGCATGTTTAAAGCAATGGCAGTGTTAGTCACTAACCAAGACCAAAGACCAAAAACAAACCCAACACAGAATGAAGTCTGGGGGGCGGTTCCTCACTGCTGACGTATGCAACCTACTGCTGTTGGCTTAAGACATCCTCCAGTTAGTAGTAAGCATTGTTTTAGTAAGACTGTCCTTTTTTCCCCCTACTCGAGACTGGGTCTCACTATGTAGGCTCTGGCTGTCCTGGAACTCACTCTGTAGACCAGGTTGGCCTCGAACCCACAGAGATCCCCTTGCCTCTGCCTCCGGCATGCTGGGATTACAGGCCTATACCAGCATGCCCAGCTTGTTCAGTTTTTAACGATGAACTTTTCCTTTTGACCCACACTCCTGGGTGTGGGCTCTTCACTTTCAGACTCCCAGGAGCGGCCGCTTCTCTCATGAGCACTTACCTCGTGGGCTCCTGGCTTCTGGGTCAGTCCATTGCTGTGCAGAACAAAGAAACTAGAGGCTGGAGTGCTTTCCTCGCCGCAAGCAGCTGTGTGGGGGCTGACCTCCCGTGCTGCCTTTCTGACTGGGGGTTACACGTGTCTGCCATCAAATTCATCTCCTCTGTGGCAGGATACGAAGGTATATACAGGAAAGGTCATCTGAGTTTAGAAACAGGAGTCTTCCATCATGACTGCACTCATGGGAAGGAACATTATGGCCAATCCTTTAACATCTCCAGGCAGCCCACCTCTGAACTGAACCTCTGACGCTTCCTGTAAGGTTTTCATTTGTAGAACATGCACGAGATGAACCACACAATCCTATAAAAAGTACTTGGGCACCACTGAACACACTGGTCAATCCACACACCATCTCAAAATTTTCATTTATTTTTATTTTTATTGATGTTTTGTCTGCATGTATGTCTGAGCATACATACAGTGCTCCCAGAGGCCAGAAAAGAACATTGGATCCTGTGGGGTTGGAGTTACAGACTCTATTGTGAGCCACTATGTGGGTGCTGGGATTCAAACCCAGGTCCTCTGGAAGAGCAGCCAGTGCTCTTAACTGCTGAGCCATGTCTCCAGGGCCCCCACACCATCTTTTATAACTGCCAAATATGCATGTTGCCTATTTAATCTGTAAGTCAGCAGCTCCTTTTCCTCTGATCCATTTTCAGATGAATGTAGATGCATGGACTTTTGTTCTTGAATGCCAGATTTAAACCATTTACAAAATATCTCGAATGTGACCATGAAAATAATTTCTGAAATCCCAGCGGTCTGGTAGGTGATAAAGAGAGTGGCATGTCCCAAGCAAAATGACCATGGCTGTCCCAACCATTAGCATTCACTGCAGGAGTGCCCAAAAGAGGCCACACAGGACATTGCTGTATGGGTCTATGATGTGAAAGACTCCGAAGTATGGAAGTTGGCATAACAGGTTTGCTAATCAATTTCCTTCTTTCTGAAAAGGGATCTTGCTCTGTTGCCCAAGCTGGTCTTGACCTTGTGACCCTGCAATCTCGGCCTTCTTCAGCTAAGGAACTTTTTATACACAAAAATGTGATATCTGCTCAAAATAGATTGTAGGTCTCACAATATTTTTAAAATATAAAATAGCATCATGCTGTCTTTATCAGTTCTTGAGAAGAGATGAGAAGTATTAGAAATGCATGAATATGGGAAGGTAACACACAGACCCAAGAGACACGCAGATACCAAGCCCACCACGCTCCTTGCCCTGGAGGTACTTCCTCATAAAGCCATCTAGAACACTCCTGGAACCATCATAAACTACACCGATGAAAATCAGTCATTATGGGCCAGTACGAGTTTTCACATTTTGTGCCTTTATGGAACATGAACAATATGGAGGAGGTTTCATCCAGGGGGTGAATAGAAATTGGTTTAAGCAGCATACCACAGCTCAGGACCATGGCCGTGTAGAGGGCATGCAGGAGTCAGCTGGTCCATATCTGAGTGGCGTGGAAGTTCATGGTGCACCTGTCACTACCAAAACAGGATCGCCACCATTGCCACCAGCTCCCACAGGACTTATCCATAATCAGAGTTAATACACCTGGGTAGTTACCTGAGTGTCTGTGAGAGATCCGTTCCAGGACACCCTGAGGTACCCACATCCATAGATGCCAAGTCCCCAACGGCACAGTGTATAGTTCCTACACATTCTCTTGTGCTCACCTGTTACGCTGTAGTGTTGAGGGAACATCAGCACACACACATGCTCAGTACAGATGAGGTCTTCCTGCTGAGCCTGAAGCTATGAAGGGCAACCCCATAAAAAGGGGCTCACGAGAATGCACGGTCCAGGCATGCTGTTGACCTATTTGCTGTTTTCAGCTGACTTTTTTTTCCCTTCCTTAACCTGATTTAAAGTGGGCCAGAACAGCTCTGAATGGTCCCAACTGCTTTTAATGTTATCTTTTATGAACCCACCACTTACCCCGAATCCGTAAAACGCAGACAAAAACAACAGGCAAATGGTATACACACGTAAGTTGAACAACCATTTAAAATTCAGTGGGTGAGAGCATCTTGGGCAAGCTAGATTCCTTTCCTTTAAAATCCATCTGCTGAATCCGACAGCACATTTCCCATCCCCCTGAGAGCAAGCTTAGAATGCACAGGTCTTGAATGAAATCTTTTGGTGGCCGCTGAATGATGTACTGAATGGGAGACAATCTCTACAAACTACACACGAGTGACAAGTCTTTCAGTGCAACTTTACATTGATATCCCTCTCAACCAGGCCAGGCAATGCCCACACGAGGAGGGCGAACATCCGGAACGAGCATCTTCAAAGGCGACGGGCCACGTCCTTGCCCGTGGATCAAACGCCTAATGTTGTCCTCTTGTCTTTGTTACTGGCTGCCACCCAGTGACTGAAGTCTTTCCCGCCACAGTCTGGTGGCAGCCCCCTCTCAGCCACTGAGGCGCTGACCTGTGCTGGGTCTGTGTGTGTCCTCTCCGAGTTCCTGGACCCCAAGTCTAAAGGGTCAGAGCTCCTGGGTAACCAGGTATGATTCAGCAGCTTAGGGTGGTGGAGAAGGCTCCAGAAGGGATCTGGATCATCACCATGGAAAGCAGCTACCTCGGGCTCCGCCACTCGGGGCTCATCCGTCTCAGGGCTTGCGGCAGATGAAACGCCAAGAAGAGCTTGCGGGCAGGGCGGGTAGGCGTCGGGCTGCGGTGGGGGGCACGGGAGGCCCTGGAGGAGTTGGCTGTTGCTCTGTAGGACCTGTAGGTGGAAGGCTGCCGGGGCAGACTTCTTCCTCCTCGGGGGCACCTTGGGAGCCAGGGTCGGGGCCTCCGGAGGCGGTAGCTCCGTCGCACCTGTCACGGGAGGCGCTTCACCGAGCGCTGTCTTGTCGCTGCTCGGCCTCCTCTCGATCCCTTTCCCAGGCTGAAAAGTTCTCGGTTTGGGAACAGGCGCGACCTGAGGGGCTGTGGTTGGAGGAGGGGTCTCGAGGCTCGTTTCCTGGGAACCGATCGTAAAGTGGACAGGCTGCTGTTCAAACTGTTCTTCGGGTGACGTGGGCTGAGGGAAGGCAAGGTAGAGTGACAGTGAGAAGCCAGCGGGTAAGAAGTGGGCCCCCAGACAACACTCGGTAGGGAACAGAGATGGATGGGGCTGAGGCAACCACTGAGACAGTGTCTGGGAGCCAGCGGAGTGAGCGGGAATGAGGAGGTGCCGGAGAAGCACACGGTCCATCCAGCATGGGTACCGGACGACGGCAAGAGATTTAAAACCAGAGCCACAGTGGGTAATTTGCAAAGACGTTGTCTTGGTTGCCTGACAAAATGGGGCTAGGTTTTCCCCTCACTCAGCAAGAACCCTTCTGAGGCGTTCGTTAGGAGTGCAGACCTAACGAGATAACTCAGCATGCACTGTACCACACCCGGAGGGACTGTGTTGGGGCCCGAAGGGCCAACGGCTCTGCTTTCTCCTTGGGTCTGTTATATTTCAGTACAGAAGGGGCCCCCACTTTCTTAGCTCTGCTTTTAAACGACATGGTGCAAAGGGAAGCTTTGGTACAGATGGGGCCGGGGAGGTAAGCCCAGCGGTCCAGGTCCAGTGTTTCCAACTGTTCTTAAGAAACCAATCTGAAAGCATAATCCTTCTCCACCAGCCTTGTACCAAAATTCCTGGGCAGCCACTGAAAAGACAAGCCACCTCTGCTCCTGCACACAGGAAAGAGGTGGACAGTTCACTTTGCAACCAAGCATGGAAAATGGACAGGCAGCAGCAACAGGCCAACGCAGGACAGAAGGACAACCGGAAGACAGAAAAGCAAACTCAATATGTAGGCACATGCCAGAGCGACGTCTCCCGCTGGGCGGGCTGGGAAAGCGACAGTCGCTGTATGGTGGCCAGGCAGAGGTTACCGAGTGGCCCGCTCCTAGAACTGAGATCAAACAGAAGATCCAGAGGTATCTACAGGTGTCAGCCTCTGCGCAGCTACCGTCCTTACAAACTCATGTCTTTGCAGCAGCAAGCAAGGCTGAGAAGCTTGTGAGCGAGAGCAGAAAACGATCTGCAAGAAAAGTGGTCAGAAGCTGTTGGGCCTGCGGGAGACCATGGCCGTGTGAGCAGAGTAAAACTGCTAATCTAGGAAGTGGTTAGTGTTTTCCTGTGTGTGTGTGTGTGTGTGTGTGTGTGTGTGACAGAGAGTGCTAGTTACATGTTTGTAGTGTATGAGCCTTTGTGTGTGTATGTGGGGTGCCCCTGTATAGGGAAGGGCCTGGAGGAGCTTGGATACCCTCCTTTGTCACGCCCCACCTCATTCCTTTGAGACAGCGTCTCTCCCTGGATCGGGAGCTCGGCTGGCGGCCATTAAGCCCCAGCAATCCTCCACCTGTGCCCTCTACATCTCCGGGGTTGCAGGTGCATGCGTGGCTGTACTGTGCTTTTTCCGTGAGTGGTGGGATCCCGACTCAGGTCCTCACTCGGGTGCAGCAAGTGCTCTTAGCCCCCGGAGCTGTCTTCCCCAGCCCCCCCCCCCCCCCCGTTAGTGCTTTTCTAATGCACATAAATCTGTGCATGTGAAACCACATGCACGTGCCACACACAAACAGCAGCACTGGACCACTGGGCAGAATGCGTCCACGGCCGTTCCCTGTGCAGACGGGGAACATTCAGGAAGCAGTCCCTCTGAAGCTGTGCACGAGTGTCACAGTGAGAACCTGCCAAGGCCAGTCAGGCCCTTGCTCCGCTCACCTGAGGCCAAGGAGCAGCTGGGAGAAGAGGGAGATGAGGGAGAAGCCGTTGGCAAAGGAACCACTTCTCCTCTAGACACGGCTAAGTCTGGGACGCAGGTGTGGGTGGAGAAACCCAACCCAACTTCACTTCCGTCCTGGACATGACTTTATGTGACAAGACCATGAGCAACCTTGGAAGGAGGGGCTCACCCGTCTTGGCTTCTTACCTTTCCCGTCCTCCTCAGAGTTGGCTTCTTGATAGCTGGAACCCGAGGCGCAGGCCGGCGGGGCAGGGCAGGGGGCCCCAGGGAGGCCTCCGGCTTGCCTCCTGCAAGCATGGGCTCTGGCTTGGAAGACCCTTGGTCTCTCAGGGGCATGGCCCCCGGGGCTGCTTCTGGGATACCTGAAACATGGAATCACTCAGCTCAAGTACAAGGTGGTGGAATCCACGGCACGACCTAACCTTTCGAGAGTCTGCATCTCAGAGCCATAGGAATCCAGTGTGTTTCCTTCTAGCTACAGACAGGTCTTGAGGGCTCGTCAGGACTAGGCAGCCAGGTCTGGGACCAGCAGTGCACACTCACTTCCTTCATGGGGTGGGGCCTGGGACCCACAGGCCCTGAGGAAGGATCAGTGAGACCCTGATACCACACAGAAAGTGTCGGACGTTCCTCAAGGAAGAGCGCCCACAAAGCGACAGAACCCCAACAGGAGTGTGAACAAGACAGCGTCTTATCAGGACGGTGGGCAGACTTCAGACCTCACTAACGTGTGTCTCTAGAGCCGTTTGCTCTTCACGTATCACCCACCCTGAAATGTACCCACCTTAATGGTTTTTGATGCATTCCCCAAGCAGCACAGGCATTACCACGGTCCAATTCTAGACCAGTTTTGTTCTGCCAAAAAGAAACCCATGCCTTCTTCCTCCTCACAGCTTTCTGTCTCTGTGGACCCACCTACCACCGACCTCACGTACACGTGGAATCACACAGTACGTGACTCCCTGTCTCACTTTTTTCACTCATAACATTTCCAACGTTCCCCCCCCCTCACTGTAATATGTGCCGCTATATTTCCGTGACTAGTACGCCACTGTATGGAGGTCCTGATAAGTGAATAAAAAACAAAACCACCTGTGCTGTGCAATCCTGCAACCACGTTTCTCAGGTTTCTAACCCAGGCCCTCTGTCCTCCTTCGGTGTGTGGAGAACTCCAAGTCAGATGAATACCCTGGTTAATACAATCGGGCAATTACAATAGTCCCGTATTTCTTTACAAAGGGCATCATCTTTCCTCTCCAAAAGAGATTCTGGATTGTAGCCCCAAACCTAAACAGCAATTGTTAGTAGCAGTGATGAGAGAGAATGGGAGGGATCCCACAGGAGAACAAGGGTTACGTGAGGTACCAGCAGTGCAGATTAACAGCAGTGTGGCGGGGTGGATGCCCCAGCCCGAGGCACAGGATTTATTTACACTTGTTCGTGATTTACAAGGTGGATTTCGTGTTTGCAGCCAGGACATCTACACAGCGGTCCTTTGTCACCCCGCTGGCAGAATGAGTTAGTTCTTACAAGTCTAGCCTTCTCCTAAACATGTTTATGTTTATCTATTATCATCTATGGAGGGGCACAGGAGTGCCATGCTGCACTTGTGGATGGCACAAGACAACCTGGGGTACTCAGTTCTCCTTCCCGGGACTCAGCTCAGATCTTCAGGTTCACTGGCCCAACATCACCCTTTATAAAATTTCATTTATTTATCTCTAAAATGCTGCCAGATCATCATGGGATTACTTTCTACATACTTCCTGAATTTTGAGTATGTGATTTTAAGTGGAAAATATATCAAAAATAAGTAAATAAAATACTAAAGGCTATTTCCAATTAACATTGCATAAAAAAGAAATAAAAAAGAAAAGAAAGGAGGAAAAAAAGAAAAAGACAGAGAGAGGGGGAGAGAAGGGAAGGGGGAGAGAGGGAGAGAGAGAGAGGGAGGGAGAGAGGGGGGGGGGGGGGGGGAGGGGGGGGGAGGGAGAGAGGGAGAGAGAGGGAGGGAGGGAGGGAGGGAGGGAGGGAGAGGGAGAGGGAGAGGGAGAGAGAGAGAGCCAGCCTAGACCCAGATCTTTTCTAGGCCACTATCTGTAAAAGGATAAAGGAGGACTTGGCACTCCCTTTTGGCCAGGGACATGGTTCCCAAGAGACCCTACCTCCTCTGGCTTCCAGGAGACACCGGATCGCTGCTTCTGCCTCCTGGGCATTGGTGGTTTTGATCTGCTTGACGTTGTAAGGTTTACTTATTCCAGTTCTAGCCTTGGGCTTGAGGACGGAAGCAGGAAGAGACATAGATTAACGCAGGCAGGAAATGAGCGTGTACATCACTTGCTTGTCTGTAGGGGTGGCAGGTGGTCTGTATGTGAATGTGAGCTCTGCAGAACCCCATCAGATGATGGACACACCCACTTATTCCGAACCACATCTCTCAACGCCCTTCTCTACCCACCAAGGAGAGAAATGCACTGAAGGCCTGAGCTGACGACTTCCAGCTCCCAAACAGACTCTTGTAATGTGACATTCCATAGTCAGGTAGAGCTGGAGAGCAGTCTCAGACCATGCCTTCCGTAGTCTGTGTAGTATGAAAACACCTCCCGGAGACATGTTTCCAAACAGAATTGTCTACCTCTTCACTCAGCTCCTGGGTCAGCTGAGACCCATTTTCTATTACTGTATATTCTGGAATCTAGTCAACACCTCAGCCTGCCTTGACTGCATATTCCAGCCTGGCCCCGCTTGCCAGCCTGTGCAGCTTCCTGGGCACATCAGTACGGCCTTCACCTCCTGGCCACTGACTCTCGTCTGCATGTCCATCTCAGAACTCCTCCAGACGAGTCCCCCCGCCCACTCCCCTTGCAATTTTTCAGAACCATGCTTTGGCGGGATTCAGACCCAGTGGGTCTCTAACCTTACACCAAAATGGCCAAACATATCTGAATTCTCCCTTTTCCCTTTACCACTCAATGCTCTACAGATCTAGGCAAAGCTAAGAATTACAGGGGAGCGAAAGAAGAGTCTGGAAGTGGGCAGTTTGCTTTGCAGGGACACTGGGGGTTATTTATCCCAAGCATCCACTCCCACAGTGCTCTGCACAGCCACATAAAAGACCTGTAAAGAAGCTGAGACTAAGCATTAGGGGTTTGGGGGAATGGAGTGACAGGCAGGGAGAGGGTTAAGGAGACAGAGCTACATATTCCTTGGAAAGGCGCGATCCACATGATCTTGGGGTGGGGCACTCCCTCGGGTTGGACATGCGAACCACTTCCCTGGGAGCCCGAGGGACTCACTGGTTGCTGAGGTGCTCCTGGAAGAAGTTTCGCCGTCTGCAAGATTGAATACTGCCCATGAGTGCCGGCGGAGATGGAGACATCTGAGGCTGACTTCTTCACCACTAAGCCAGCTGCGGAAAAAGACAGGCGCTGTTTCAGTGACTTGGTCACGTGCTAGCAAGCTACAAGAAGTGGGGAGGCGGCAGCCACAAAGGCAGGCACAGCCATGGTCAGGAGTGCAGGCAGACTCACAAGCCATACAGAGTGCTCCCAAGCAGGCCCCCTAAGAGTCTCCAAAGTTTCTCTTTGGGGCTGTGGTTATGGGTTAGCCATAGAGCGCTTACAAAGCATGGATGAGGAGGCCCTGGGCTCCATCCCCAGCACCACAAAAAAAAAAAAAAAAAAAAAAAAAGCAGTTTTCCTGGACTCTCCGATAGCGATAGCGTGGCCTATTGACACAGATTGTCTAGGGAAGCAGGATTGGAATGCAAATTTAAATCTAACACACAGCGGGTTTCTAATCTTATACACAAACCAGTTGGTTTTTAAGTGGTTTAAAACACAACATTATTATCAGGACCAAATTACTTTGAATGCTGTTGTTAAACAGTAGTGTGTGTGTGTGTGTGTGTGTGTGTAGGTGTCTGTACAAAGCACATGTGTTTATGTGTGAGGGCACAGCGCGTGTGTGAGGACAGAGGCCAGCCTCGGGTGTTGGTTGAGGCAGGGCCTCTCACTGTTTGTACTGAACACTCCAGGGCACCTGGTCCTCAAGGTTCTGGGGATTCCCCCGACTCCTCCTCCCATCACCAGTAAGAATGCCTGACGACAGACAGCACCCCCGGCACATGGGCTTTCCCACAGGTTCTGGGGATCGGAGGAGGTACACAGAGCCCACCACAGCGGGAAGGGCATCCGGCTTGTGTGGGAAGTGCTGCTACCCACTGAGCCATCTCCCCAGCCTCGGAACATTTTTCAGAGACAACAGGAGTCCCAGAGTCCCCAACTCAGAGAAATAAATCACGCTGCATTCTGCTTTTAGCCATTAATGAGTTGTCTTAGAATACTTAATGACACAGGCAGTGGAATAAAAACAAATGACCAAGCAAAAGCGATAACAGTTCGTTAAAATGTTCTTTTTGATAGAATTAAGGATTGGACCTGGTGCCTCATTTAAGTTAGGCTAGCACACACAGCCCCAGCCCTTACATTTTTTTCTTTTAAAATAGTGTTTAGATACCCTTGTAGACAACTGGAAAACAGTGGAAGTGATTTTGATTAAAACTGTTACTTGTAGGTAGCCAAGAATCTTTTAAAGCTTGATTCTTCTCTATAATTCTTTACTTTTATTAAAGCTCTAAAATAACATGATTTATAAAATGTATATAATTTTTAGGTTATTTTTTGAGAGATAGTCTCACTATGCAGCCTGGGCTAGCCCTAAACTCTCTCTCCCCTTGCCGTGGTCTCCCACCTAAAACATCTTATAAACCTGGTATTTTTAGTATAATTTCTATTTCCTGAGTATACGACTCACAAAAGTGAAGATACACTTCTAACTTGACACTGATTACTGCTATACATTAGCTATGGGTGAACCCGATTTTGAAAGGAATAGCTTAGAAAAGCCCGTATTTGCTGTCATGGTTTGGGGAGAAAGGAAACTGTTATGGTATGCAACAGAAACCAATCAGAAGCAAGCCACGAGGTTATTTTGAGATTAAGGGAAGTTTGATGGGAGAAGCATTGTCAGAGGGGCTGGACCCCCATCCTAGGAGAGCCTGGGTGAAACAGGGCTCATCGCCAGAAAGCCGGGAACACAGGCGCAGGAGGTGGATCAGGGTCTGGGATAGCAGAGATCCATGCATGCTTGGGTCTCTGGGTGAACCAGAGTCCTACAGAGCAGGTCTGGGAGTCTGTCAAAGAAACCAGCACCTGACTGAAAGGCTAGAAAAACTCCCTCAAAGGACGACGGCCATTTCTATGTTAACGGTTTCAAATTTAAGGCTTCTGGAAGCAAACGCCAAGATCCTGGATGAACAGCTTTAGGACGGCTTTGTTTCACATGCCCTGAGAAACCAATGACCTCCGACATGGAACATGTCCTAGACTTGGAGAACAAGGACCCCCACCCCGGGGATGGGGGGGTGGGGGGAGGGAGAGGAGCATCAGAAGGGACTCAGAAGCAGTCTAGGGCTGTGTGTTCAACAGCAGGAGGTGTGCGGTTATTCCCAGCAGGCACGGTGGCAAGCTCAGAGCAAGCAAAGTCTTACTTGGAGGGGGGGGTCTCTGTGGTGGGTGAGGTGGCCGAGGCCTATTGGGGACGGACAGGGACCTGCTCGGAGAACGGTGGCGAAAATCCCCAACAACGTCCAGCTCCTGCTTTAACTTCGCCAGGTCAGCGCCGTCTAGAGGACATGGCAGCTGTGAGAAAAAACGGTCTCTTCCAAACGCAAGGGTCAGAAGGGGCTTTGTGCGCGGAGCACGCCACAGGAGACTGAAGGGCTATGGGATACCCAGCAAGCCCGATTCAGAAGCCAGAGCCCTTGGCTGGGGTGAGGGTATTCCCAATGCCTGCTTGCAACACTCAATGACCTGTGGGCTTGGTTTACCAGACTTGAGAAGCCCTGGCATGTTTTAACGTATAGACCCATTTCCTTCCAAAATGATCAGCCGAAACCTCTACACAAGCAAAAGATACAGTGAAGCCAGAGCTGCTAAGATTCACCCCACCATCGGGCAGAGAGCTTAATTCCTCATTCTAAAATACGGCTAGTGATTTGGAAGCTGAGAAAGTCTCCCCTCTTCGTGAGCCTGGCACCCAGTGGCAAGCTCTTGGCTACTAGAAGCTTCAGGTAACCACTTTCTGAGGGCTTGACGCTGTGACTGGCCTGGGACATTCCTCTGAGAAGAACAAGAGGGGCCAAAGCTGGAGGAGAGAAGACCAGAGGAATGTAAAGGTCACCTGGTGTCATTCACCAGAACTGTCTGTGTACACACTGCCTGCCCCACGTGCCTTACCAAATCACCAAATCTGAATCCCATGGCAGACTCAGCAACTCACAATGTTAAAGCCAACCAGTGGTTCTAGAGTGGCAAGCTACTGATCAGTTTGGGGACCATTATCTAATCAAAGGAAGAGGTGGGGTACAGGGGTCTTTGGACCTCTCTTGACAAGGAAACATCTTAATTCCCTGTCGGCCATGCTTTATGTCTCCAGCCCTCGGGCAAGGGTCCTGCGCCTGTTGGCTAACGCTTCTCTCCAGTTAGGGACCTAGTGACTGTCAGGGGAAGGCAGGTGGGGAATTCTGGGTAGACCAGAGTCAACTGCATCTAACACTCTACCATTTAATCCAGAATAGGAATTCATTCCCCCACACCCTCTTTTGCTCTCTCTCCTTAATTCTAAAATGTAACGATGCCACCGTATAATATGACATTATGTGAATGAAATAACACATCAGGGTGTCGATGCTGAATATGTCTCTTCAGGGATTCAATCAGAAAAGTATTGGGGGACAAAGTCACAAATGTAAAAGCAGCTTCTAGAGAGCGGTGGCCCCTCGCTCGAGCACACAAAGGAAACAGGACTGACATCTCCAGGTGGGCGTGTTATAGGGGCACACATCGGAAAGATGAGGACGCTCTTCCAACCCTACCCCGGGAAAGCAAGCAAGGAGCTACCTTTGTACGTTGGATGTTGCTTCTTTTTGGCGAGGGCAGGAGATTTGCCGGCAGGTGCTGCTGAGGAGCTCATGGTATCGGAAGAGTCGTCTCCACCAAGTTCACTGTCCGAGGCCACAGGCTGGCCAAACCCATCCACTAAATAGTCCTCGTCATCATCAAGAACATCCCCTTCGGGGAAGAACAAATCACATGAGGGGGAGAGGAATGAGGGGCATCAGCCCACCTTCCAGCCAGTGGGACTGTCTTGCTGGCTGTCAACTGGATTGGCTTGAGGGATGCCTATGAGATGGTCTCTGTGGGCATGTGTCCAGAGAGAACTAAGTAGGGAAGGAGGGGCTCATGCTGATTCCCAGGCCCGGAGACCCAACTGGAATAAAAGATGGCACTGGTGTTTACTCCCTGCTTCCTGTGCACTGGGCGGGGGGAGGGCGGAAGGGGGGGGGAGGGTGAGTAGCCACCGTCACATGCTCCCATGCCTCGATGTTCTTGCCTTGCCAGAGGCCCAGATTCAACCGAGCCAAAGGCTATTATTGTTCCAGGTAGAAGATTCATGTCAATGTGACACAGGCTAGAGTCATTTGGGAAGAGGGACCTGCAATTGACAAGATGCTTCCATAAGATTGCCTATGGACAAGTCTGCGGGGCATTTTCTTGATTGATGTGGGAGGGCTTGGCCCAGGGGCCCATGGTCCTAGGTGTTATAATGAAGCAGCAGGCTGAGCAAGCCACGGGGAACAAGCCAGGAGGTAGCATTCATTCCTCCACGGCCTCTGCCTCAGTTCCTGCCTCGGGCTCATGCTAAATTCCTTCAACGAGGGACTGAGATGTGGGCCTGTAAACTGAAACAAACCTTTTCCTCCCCACGTTGCTTTTGGTCATGGTGTTTTATCACAGCAGCAGGAACCCTGACTAAGACAGCTATGGACCTATGATCTGCAAACCAAAATGAAGAATTCCTCCCTTATAAAGTGTCTGTCAGTGAAGCCAACGTACGCTCTGCCGGCGGCCATCGGAGCTGGGTGCCCAGGCCAGTTCCCACCTCAGTCCGTGCCCATTGCTCTAAGCCATCGTAAATAACAAACGTGAGGACATCTTGTCCCTTTCCTGTCCCTGCATCATCCCCACGGGTGAACACTGGGACACATGAATATGAGCCACAGCTGTCACGCAGGGGCAATTCTCACATGTCACATGTCCTCCGTAACCTTTGTGAGGTGGGGTTTGGGGCAAGGCCTGGCCATCACCGGAACTCTCGGCCCGCCCTTTCCGTCAGGGCCACTCACCTTCAGACTCATAGTCCAGACTGGTGAAGTCGAAGTTCTCCTCCAGCAGGCAGGAGTTGGCGGTGGGAGACACGGGGGCCATGCTGTCCCGCTTCCGAATGAGCTCCTCTCTCAAGCCCTTCAGCCAATCTTTGGTCTTTGGTCGAATCTTCACAGCTCTGCCTTTCACCTGGCGCGGGGGGTGGGGGGCAGCCAGCAAGGGAGACCAAAGAAAAGTCACCACAGCTCGCATCAGTCACAAAATGCTTCTCTCTCCAACCTGTGCATTCCTCACAACTTGCTAAGGCCACCCAAAGTCCAGACCCCCGGGGTGAGCTCAGCACGGCTCACACACATTCGGTTGGACTAGAAATTGAACTCCACGCCTCCGGCTTTTCATTCCGTGCAAATTTTAAACCAAGATCTTATCAAAATGGAACTAAATGTGAGCTGCACATCCCAAGACAGTCTCAGGAGAAGGGAGGCAAGTGCACTCCATTGGGGGGAGCGGGCCTCGGTGGGTACCACACTTGCAGCTTCTACAGTAGGACAGGCCAGGTCTAAGACACGAGACCCAGATGGAGAATCCCAACCGCTATGCACTGTGGTGCCCACATAGTTTAGGGCACTGGCCAGGGGAAATCCTGGCCACTCACCTTCATACCGTCCACGTCTAGCACACTGAGAGCCGAGTGGCTATCTGCAAAGGTCACCAGCATCTGTCCTTGGTTGATCCTGGGATACAAATCAGTATTCCAGTCAATACTAGGAACTTAATGCAGCTCTCCGGGATCCCACTGATACCCCAGAACACACATCTGAAGGGGGGGTTACCTGACCAGAATAATCGTCCCATAATTCCCCAAAGTCTGCATGAGTTCTGTACGCAGGTCCTCAGGAAATTCATTTCTCTCTTCTAGGGTTGGCGATTGAAGGTTTACCACAACGGTGGCATCCAGCGGGCCTTGGGCAGAGGACACTTCCTGGAAAACCCGCTCCCGGGCTCCCACATCAACCTCTTGCACCTCCACCTCCACGATGGCCAGCACAGGTCTGCATCAGACACGAAACAGGAACCGGTAGAGAACTGTCGGTCTCGGCAGGGGTCACATCCCAGCCTCCAACCTGCCTCCGTCCCCCAGAGCTGTTAGCCCATGAACCCACAGGCTGCCAGCCAGGCATGGCACCCTGCTGGAACACAAGTTCTTCACGTGGCTACATGGCAATCCATGCTAAGTGCCTCACAACACCACCCCTTTTCGTTTATAGAGCTCATTTCTAGGACTTGATTGTAAGGAAACACCAGAAATTGGGATAAAAAGTCCCATAAATACCATTTCCCCTCAACACTGCTAAGGGGAGGGGATAAAGGAATCAGAACCCAAAGTCCCGACTCACTAGCTGACCCAGGTTTACCACTGTCCTCTTCCTCTCTTGGAAGAACTTACCCAGTTCTGGTAACAACTGCAGGAGAATTAAACCTTCCTCACTTGTACTGTCTTATGCCGCCACCCTCTACCATTTCGTGCAAGGTGTTCAACAAGCTAATCAACCCCTCGGAGGCTACCATCAGACTACCATCAGACTGCCATCAGACTGCCCCCATCCTGCCATCTCCTGTCTCCGTCCATTCTTAGCCCAAGTGGCCAAGGGTCAACGACATCTCAGAGTGTCTAACAACCTGAACCCAAGATATACAAACTGTACGGTGTTTGCCACAACACAAATACTGGATGGAAACTGTCATCCCTAGCTGAGTGGGTCAGCCCCATGTCTCTGCTTAGAGCCGGACGGTGGCTGCAAATGGGTGAACCAGATCTGTAAGCTGCACTGGACTGCCCCTTGAAAACTACCAGGAAAGTAGCTGAGCGGTGGAGCAGTTGGGGACATTTCAAAGATACAGTATTGTACAGGCTGTATCTTTGAAATTTTCATAAATAATTCATTTATGACATAGAACAATGACAAAACACTAACAACTATTACTTCGCAGTGGTAACTATACACACACACACACACACACACACACACACACACACACACACACACACAC